AGCGGATTTCATCAGATCCAAATGCACGAAGACGACATAGAGAAAACCGCTTTCAGCAGCGAAAACGGACACTATGAATTCCTTAGCATGCCATTTGGGTTGAAGAATGCTCCAGCAACCTTCCAGCGCGTGATGGATAATATTCTCATCATCCTTGCAGATAATTAGTAGCCCGGATAGAGCAAACATCTCTGGAAAAGTAAACAGGGAAATGAAAGAGAAGGACGATAGAGATAAACCAGACAAGGTCTAGGCAGTAGTGCGGCCGCACAAAGTAGCACAACAGATCGCCCTAGAAGGCAAGCTCTTGAAGAATTTCCTAAAAGCGCTTTTCACAATTAGCACAAATATAGCCCGACAGGTGGAACAAAACACGAAGAAAGAGTTGAAGGCGCTGATCAAACAACTGAGAAGTAAGATGGGATCTTGAAAAAACAGAGCATGCAGGATTATATTGAATCAAAAATTTAAAGTTCAGCCCACACAGACAGACAGGATAATCCCGCCTCCCCTACTATTGAGGAGCAGATGGACAAGCTGAAAGAGGAAAACGGGCGGCTGACATTTAGGGTGGCCCAACTTGAAAACATTGGAACAGAGCCAGCACAGACGGGCACATGTGCAAACTGCGGCTGTAACCCTTCTGAAAAAATAGTAACAAATCTGGAGGGCATAGTCGACCCTAGGGTATAATAGACGGCAATGCAGGAAGCTACCGCGAAACACTGAAACAAGTGAAAACAGAGTTAAAGACCACCAAGGGCGCGACTAACAAACTAGAAATATGAAGCACTAGGCAAGGCAGACTGCTCATCACAATGAAGAATGACATGCAACAACGCACGACTCGCAAATTGCGCGACACAACGACGTCGTCCGCCGCGTGGCAAACGCTACGAGGTAGAACTAGAGCCTCACGTGGGGTCCTGACGACTTTTCAAACCATGGCGGCATTTCAGACATGGCGGTGCATATCAATGGACTCACAACCGTGATAGCCGACGTCCAAGTTTCCTGGGGCGGCGCTGGTCGACCATTGGCCGTGGCTTACGCGGAGAAAAAGGCGAAGTACGCTACCGAGGGATTTTTGGAGGGAGCTCGAAAGAGGTGGCCGGGCAAAGCATTTGTCTTCTGCCCAATCGTTGTCGGGGCCAGAGGAATATGGCCGCGCGCTAACGAGCCGACAGAGCGGGTACTGAGTTTCGACAGGGCCCTAAAGTGCGCCTGTGTGAACGGTGTGCTGAAATGGGAAAGTTCCATCCACGCGGAATTTGGGCGTCGGGTTTGGAGAAGACAAGAGACCACCCGACCCCAGACATTAACATCCGGCAATCGCAGGCAGATGCCATCAGGAGCATCAAAGAGGGGCTTTAGAGAAAAATATCTGAACAGAAGATCTGGAATGCGGGTGAGGAAACCCGAAACACCAGCGTATTCATAATTACCTACTGACGACAAAAAAAGAAGTCGAGGACACACTGAAAAATGAATACGATCTCACGCCGGATAGACTGAAACTTAGCGACCTGACACCGGCCAGAGACAATACACAAATAGCGACAGCGGCTGTCCCCACCCCTGTAGCTGTAGAGTTGCAAAAAATGGGAGAAGTGAGAATAGGATTTGTAAACTGCCGAATAGAGAAGAGAATAAACCTCACTAGGTGTTTCAAATGCTGGGCGTAAGATCACGTGACTGGTCAGTGCAACAGGCCTGACAGGTCCGCCTTATGCTACAAATGCGGAAGTGGGGCACCTAACAAAAGGCTGCACAAATGAGGAGGAGTGCACGATGTGCAATGCCAAAGGGCACTCAGCTGGATCGGAGAGATGCCCCGTGTTTCGCAAGGAAGTGAATGAGCACAGGAAGTTGGAGCGGCAGACGTCTAAGCCACAACGACAAAAATCCATCAATAAGTAAAAAATAAAAATTAGGTTCCTTAAAGCACTGCAGGTAAATACACAAAGAAAGAGCGCGGCAGACAACTTAGTCCACGCAGTGGCGGCCAAATATGACTGCGACCTTATCTGTATGCAAGAACCAAACGTGAAGATCGTAGGAAGGCCCACCTCCAAGCGGTACCCTTCAACAGGTCCATAGCTGAACACTGTGATAATTAAATGTTCTTCTAGTCAAAATGTGATACCAGTATATTGTTACGTTTCCCGGGGTTCGAATGATTGCAGTAAACTAATAAAATAACACAACAATTTATTGAACTGGTAATGCTTTACGCTACGAACTGGTACTAGGATTGCCGCTTTTTCGATTAAGACTATGCTCACCTTATAGAAAATCTCGTAACAAACAATATT